CTTTATTGTAAATGTCTTACAGTTAGCGTTTCACGGTCGCCACCTTCTTATGCATCATGCGACGCCAGGCGATGACCTCAATAACCATCCTCATATTTTTGCCTGTATTTTACACAGACCCRGGCATTATATGGCACTCATTCGTGCAGCTGCCCTGTGGGAACTGTGGGATGGTGGGACGATGAGTCAGGTCATTTTCGACGTGAATGAATTTTTGCGAGCGTTGTCGAATCATACTTTATTCTGGATTATTGGCCGACTCTCATGTGACACCTGTCGGGACAGAGACGCGGTGCGCCTTGGCTGTGTAATGCATCATCTATGCCATAGCCATTATCAATCTATTGCGACTGCCGCCGTCTGTCCTGWAGGGTGTCCAACATTTCCTCATTGTACACATCCCTATCACCCAGATATACGTTGTCCCTATTGTGCCCAAGGACGCTATCAGAACTGTATGATGCCGCACTGTGATGAACGTCCTGCTGTGTTTTTGACATGTGGACAACATGTCCTCTGTCAGGACTGTTTTGATGGGATGGTTTGTGCTAGCAGTCCTGCGGAATGCTGTGCTGACGCAGCTCTCCTGGGGCATCCTTGTGAACATCCACATCATCCTCACCGTAGCTGTCCTATCTGCCGAGGTGGGGACAGGTAAAGAAAAAAAGAAGAAAAGAAAAAGAGAAAAAAAGAAGAAAAGAAAAAAAGAGAAAAAAAGAAAAAAAGAAAAAAGATACGTTGATCTGTGGGATGTGTTATTTGCTTTGTGACAATTGGATTATCTTTCTTTCCCTATCTTTCTTTCCCTGTCAGGTTTGGTTTCCTCCTCCTTTTCTTTACCTCTTTGCCTTTTGGCTGCGTGCAAGTGGGTCCTTGTGACACACGGGGATGGGGGCAGCCAGCGCTCAACCTGTCATCCACGTGGCTGGCCTTGTACGTAAGAGGTTATGAACAGGTGGAGCTTTCCTTACCTCTTCTCTTTCCCTTTTTTTCCCTTCCCCTTTTTTTCTTTTCCCTTTTTTTTGCTTCTGCGCTCTGATTCACAATGTGACAATATATACATATGTATATCCCCTCGGTTGTTGTCCTCTTTGCCCTCTCTGCCTACGGTTTACCGGGCAGCTCTGTTTGACTCTATATATATGTGTGTGTGTGTGTATATGTGTATGTATCTGTGTGTACATATATGGATTGGCGAACGGAACATGTATGTGTGTGTATATGTGTATGTATGTGTGTACATATATGGATCGGCAAACAGAACTGCAGGTTAAACCGTGCACAGAGCAGCAGAAGAGGGCAAACAAACGAGGGGCTGTGAAAAACTGTGTCGTCGCGGTCTCATCAGGAGGCCGAGCCCGGTATATATTTTTTGACAGCCTATTATGCAAGCATTTCGAATTCGTGCTACTCTTTTGTATATCCTTTCCTGACAATATTCGTGACTGCATTCATTACGCGAGATGCCCAGCATGGAGGGCTGAACTTTCGCAACCACACAGAAAACAACAAACAAACAAATAACTACGTCCAGGTGTGGTGTGGAGTTTTGAATTCACAGGAATAACAGCTGACTGCGATTCGAACTTAGAGCAGTTCGGAACTGCCAAGAAAACAAATACCTTTGCAGTTTTTTTTTCTTTTCTTTTCCACACAAAACACACACAGCCCCATTCTATTGTGGGGGGCACCAGTCCGGTTGCTTATCACCGGCAAGCAAATGTTTTACAAAGATCGAAATGGATTGAACAAGAGGAGCTCAAAGAAAGGTGTAAAGAGGTAGGTTTGCAGGCTTATCCTGCCCAGCCCAAGACAACTGATGGCAGGGGGCTGTGCTTGCTGGGCATTCGCATCACTGAGAGGGGCTCTGGGAGAACTCATTGCAGGCGGGAAACTTCCAGACGGTACCCAGACCCTGCGATAAGCAGACTCAGATGTCCCCTACTCATGCGGGTGTCAAGCCCAGCACAGTCAACTAGCCCAGACCCAGATCAGTTCGCCATGCTCCTTCAGACCCTGCATCCATTGCATGACACCTGCCTAATCTATACCAATCCTATTACATCATCAATTGTTTCTAACGAAGCCCCATATCTTCATTCACACAGACTTCCTAAATCAAGAATCTTGATGGAAACACACCTCCGTTACTACTTTCGCTATAACTTGCTGTGTCAATGTACTCCCAAAATATCTAACTGACTATTTCCCYCCCCCCCCCCCCCCCCCCCCCCCCTCCCTCCTAGCCGGTTGAAAGTTTGTAATTGGCAAAATCAGGCGGCCATTCGTTGTTGCATTTTTTTTTTTGGTCCCCCATGTGACGCTCAACCTCACGCCCTGGTCTGTCTTCCGGTTGGAGTTGTATGTTTTGTGGAAAAGGGCCCTGAAAGGCAGTAGAATGGGGTGTGCCAAGGATTTTTGGGAAATTGACAGAACTGAAGTCCCCTGCGTGGTTCCGGTTTTAGCGAGAACGGTTCACTGATGCGGGGGAAGGAAACAAGCGCGGTCTATTTTCAAACACCCATTCAATCCTAAAAGTATCACTGTACCTTCGCATGGGCTACCGGCCGTCTCTTAGAGTGAAAGGGTGAGGGGATGCACGTGGGATCCCATTTTCGGATCAGATCTCGGTGTCACACGTTACAAAGCTCAGAGTCCAACGTGGAGGGCTTCAGCCTCGTCACTCGTTCCTTGTGTTCGTCTTTGCCACGTATTCGATAGTGGAAACCCCTTTTCCGATAGCGCTTTGTGGCAACAATCGCTGCACAAGGTGTTAGGCCAATGGGGTGCCAGTGACGTCCATGGGATGACAATAAACTCATTAAAAGGCAACAACAGCGAGTACGGTGGGAAATAAGTGTCAATAATGACAAAGCCAGCACCTACAAATCCAGAGCACCTCGTCTCGGGTGGGAAATAGTATCTTCTGCCGATCTTGGCTGTCCTTCCCTCGTTATAGGGGAATGGGTGAGATGGGGGTGCGGGAAGTCGGCACCCGGTCGGATCGGGATTGTTAGTCCACATGGCACGAGCAAAAATCAGATTGCATCTATCTAATCAGTCTGTTATTCAATCACAGAAATAAGCAGACACCACACCATGCATTAGCTTTCATACATCATGTAGTCTAATCCAATCAAGAGGACGATCATCTTACATTCTTGCGAGCATACATCATATCGAAATCTTAATTTATTCCCGTCGTCGGAGGGACAGTCAATCGATACATACAAGAAAAAAGTTTACTCATGCATAAATCGTCAGACATTAAGAAGCAAGGGAAGGGGCGGGGCAAGATCACTTGAGCTTGCTGGGCTCTCAAATTCAACAATACTCGTGCCCGCGAGATCCAATTGAATTCAACGAGGCGAACAGGCCAAAACCACAGGGACGTAGGATTTGTCGAAACATTCAGTCATTCATGACGAACATACGAAAAGAGAGAGGGAGAGAGGAGATAAAGTCGAAGATATGGCTCGACCAAAGAAGGGGAGTAAAGACAAAGAAAGAGTAGTAAGCACACAAATAGATTTGAGAACCAAAACCGACAATCTGCCGCGAGCTTAGCTTCCAAAAGAAAAAGAGGAAGAATCGAAGATCAAGGGTGTGCAAGCCTTCCTCTCCTTGGCTATGGCCCCAGGCCATACAACCTCTTATACACACACACCTTCCTTACCCTAGCACTGGCGATCCTGACCGCCACATACCAACCTCCTACCACAGCGATCGTCACCCTGCCAACTCAGCTTCTACACCGACTTGCCCAGATCCCGCAGTCCGTCACGGACACCCGACATACAACCTTGCAAAACTATAGTCAGCTGGACAAGACTTTTTGACCTGCCGTGCATACCTATCACCTAGCCATGACTCCCTGGAAGTTGGCAGATGGATTGAGAGAGAGTTTTTCGGGAGCGCTTGCGGGTTTGATAGGTGCGAGCAGGGGAATGAAAGAGGGAGAAGCATATCGATCTTGCAGGCTTTTTGCGCAGCCAATTAGATTACTTCGTGCGAGGGGCATTTCTCATTGCCTGACGTCGATCAGCGGCTTCAAGTACTTTGGGAGGGGATCGGTAGGGAGTTTCGATATGGGGATGTAGGCGGGAAGGAGAAGAGCGCAAAATGTAGCGTGGAGTCGATCCAAGATTCAGACGAGGAGTGGGGGTGAAGCACGAGAGAGAGGGGGGATGGAAAACAGTTACAGATACAGACAAAGGGAAGACGACACGAAGAAGAGAAGAGGGAAGATGGTACGGGCTTTAGCAGGATGGCGAAGCTTGCAGTTACTGCGGTAGTGCCTAAGAGAGAAGGACATCAAAACAGTTACGTTCCATCGTAAAGCTATTTCAAGAATATGAAATTAAAATATTATACTAGCGCGTGGTATTGCGCGCGCAAGAATCTTGCATCTATCGAGCTGCCTACTGAAAATTCATAGATCTTTCAAGGGCGGGTACAAGAAGTTCTCGATGCAAGAAATGACACGTCAACGAAAAAGATGTATCCTGGAGTTCCCAACCGTTGAACACAATTCTTAGTGCGCTCTTTAAGGTGCGCTTAATTCCTACGTAAGTTCATGAATTCCGAAAGGAAATTTGCAACCAAAAAAAAAAAGAAACGTTGGCTTGGATTCGGAAGGGCCTGGCTGGCCGACAACTTCATGCCTCAGGAATATAACAAAAGAGGGAGGGGGGGAGATAGTTCAACAAAATTTGGGGGCTTCGAAAGATAGTTCAACAAAATTTGGGGAGATAGTTCAACAAATGACGAACCCTGCATATCAACAGGCAGGGGAGGGGGAGAAAGAGGAACATAGTGCCACGTCAGCGAACGAGAGGAAGCACATGTTGGCACAAACTTCAATTAAAAAATATCCTCGCGAAGTTTGTTGTCGCGCCATGTTGGCCCTTGTCCTCCGCCACAGTTGTTTTCAGATGCCATCATTTGGAACCAATTAGTCGGGTCGTTGATGTGCCGCCCGATTGTAGGTGACGCGAAGGGGAGGGGGAGGAAATGGGGGATACTCTTGATGAAGTGGGGGGAAGTAATCAAGAGCTTCTTCGCCGAGTTCGACGAAGTGAGTGATACGATGGGCACGGGGCAACCGATGATTGGGCCGGTGAAGGGAGGCGAGATATTCAGCATACAGGGTGGGGAGCGTGTGCATGGTATTGTCTCACAGGGACTCGTAATCTTCCACAACGGGGAAGGTCCCGGAGATGATGCAATACAATTTCATGTGGTTGTATTGCCTCCATGCAACGTTGAAGAGGAGGATGTTGAGGGGAAAGACGGGGGTATTGCGAGAGTGGACTTTGTAGAGCAGGCGAACAGCACAGTGCCGGTAGAAGAGTTGGTTGGAAAAGATGCTTTAGTCGGTGGGGAACTCAAGGTGGGGGAGGTGGGTGAAGAAGAGTAAATCAAAAGAGTGGCGGAAGATAAGACAAGGATGGAGCGCTCGAGCTGGGAGGAGGACGGGGACGAATCTCAAAGAGAGCGGAGGAGGGAGGTGGTGAGCGA